AGCCCTAGTCTGCACAGTAGTGATTTTGAGCGCTGTAGAGGTCTGCGCGGGACTGTTTTTTTAGTCCCGCTCCCGCAAGGTTATATTCTGCACCCACCCGCTCCCGCTATATATTCACTTTGTTCACCCGCTGTCCGCTTAGAATAATTTTCTTCCCGACCCGACCGTTCCTGCTAAATTTAGATCTCGTTTCCAGAATCTCACATTTAAATGTCCGCTACTGAAAGAAAGAGAGATAGGCTGACAAATAAAAGTGTAGTCTGCACAAAATTGTGTTATTTTATTCGTCTTGTCAAGAGTCTTGAATTTATCGACTTTGACTTGAATTTATATGAATTATCTTAAGACACAAAATTAGTTTAATATTTTATGCAACACCTCAACTTTTTTTCTTCTAAATATAACGACTTTTTTCTCATTATTTAATGACTTTATTCTCAACATTTTATCACAACTTTTTTTCTCGAAATTTAATGAGTTTTATCTCGAAACATAACGACTTTATTCTCAAAATTTAATGAGTTTAATCTCAACATTTTATTTAGACATTTTTCTTGAAATTTAACGAGTTTAATCTCGTATTATAATGACTTTAAGCTCAAGATGGTTTTATTTTTTTTTATTATTGCTTGAACCTAATCCTCTTCCGTATCCTTTACTGTAGAGAAGTGAAGCCAAAATGCTTCAAGTATGGCTGCTGCCATCTTGCGCTGATGACGTGATTTGGAGTCTATGCAGTAGTGATTCATTTGCAGCCCTAGTCTGCACAGTAGTGATTTTGAGCGCTGTAGAGGTCTGCGCGGGACTGTTTTTTTAGTCCCGCTCCCGCAAGGTTATATTCTGCACCCACCCGCTCCCGCTATATATTCACTTTGTTCACCCGCTGTCCGCTTAGAATAATTTTCTTCCCGACCCGACCGTTCCTGCTAAATTTAGATCTCGTTTCCAGAATCTCACATTTAAATGTCCGCTACTGAAAGAAAGAGAGATAGGCTGACAAATAAAAGTGTAGTCTGCACAAAATTGTGTTATTTTATTCGTCTTGTCAAGCAGTAGTGATTCGTTCGGAGCCCGAGTCTGTGCAGTAGTGATTCGTTCGGAGCCCGAGTCTGTGCAGTAGTGATTCGTTCGGAGCCCGAGTCTGTGCAGTAGTGATTCGTTCGGAGCCCGAGTCTGCGCAGTAGTGATTCGTTCGGAGCCAGAGTCTGCGCAGTAGTGATTCGTTTGGAGCCCGAGTCTGCGCAGTAGTGATCATGAGTTGGAGCCGCAGATTAAAGTCCCACCCAAACTCCCACAGACCCAAACGCAAGCACACAATCGTGAGTATCAAATAACAAAATAAAAGCAAACTTATTAGAAAATCGAACAATTGAAAATGCATCAGCGTGATAAGAACTACCTACTATGATGGAAACCATCTTTGGAAAAAATTTATTTGAAGAGTAATTGATTTTTTAGTTTGCCTCACGTCCCATTTGTTTACACGAAGACGGTGGGTCATATGACCTATTCTGCAGCCAGCTATCAGATGGTTATTGAAATGTTTTGGCTTCACTTTTCAGGACGTGTGCGGCACATTTGCCTGGGACAGAAGACACCCAGTGAGGTCATCCAGACTGGAAATGCCTGAAAAAGGGCCTGTTCATGTGTTCTTCTCCAAAAGCAAATCTCCTGATGTTTGCATCATATGTTACCCATGGCAACATACTTCCTGCATAATACTTACTTAAATACATGTTTTCTTCTCTCCTTTGAGCATAAAGTTGTCCGTAGTTGTCAACAGCTGTGATCTTATGTGCCACAGCTTTGAGATGTAGATGGTGACCAGCAATCTTTGGTGATGGTATCTCTGACCTGTCATCTGGAAGCATGTCACATTCAATTAAGGTGGGTAAGGAGATTTGGGTTTTACCATCAAATGATTCCACTACAAAGTTTCTTGCCTGTCTGTCTGCTGTCTCAATTACTGCAGCCATGTTTTCAAGATGTACTGCATTCCATTTCTCTTTAATGTCAGAGTTGTTTCTTTGTTCATCAAAGACAACATATAGCTTTCTCTTGCTGGATATGCTTTCCCTATGAACAACTTCAGTCATCTGATGCTACAGGAGAGGAAGAACTAGCCAAACTTTAAAGCATCAAAACCAACTACATGTACTCTGGATCCTATACCTACTAACCTACTAAGAGTTTGTGCACGTGTTGCAGGGTGTGGGCTGGTGTTTTGGTTGGCCATGTCCTGTCGAGCACCCTGTCTAAATCAGAGTTTACAAATGACTTGCTTGTATCATCTGACCTTGGCTTTTCTAGTACTATCAGATTGACACTACAGACCATGACATTCTCTTGAATAGGCTCGAGAATTATGATGGCATTTGTGGACCCACCACAAATCTATTACCCAGCTGCTACTAGTTTGTGTGTGTTAAGGATAAGGTATCAGACCAAACACAAATGAAGTACGGAGTGCCACAGGGCTCAGTCTTAAGTTCTTTACTTTTCTTCTTGTATGTACTTCCATTGGAGGACATTAAGGCCGCATGTACATTACATTACAATTCAGATTTTTTGCTCCCATGTGAGACAGATCAGATATGACCCATGAATGTATAAGCAGGAAAAAAATCACATGGATTCAGACTGGATAGACCCATCAATGAGTTGTATGTCATTGTAAAAATTACAGTGGCGAATGATGTCAGTTCAAGTGGACTCTTTTCCTGGCAGTGGTGCCACTTTTACACTGTTGCTGCAGATTAAAGCAATCTCCCCCTCTCCTGGGATGTGATGTCAACGGAAGGGAAAACAGCGGAAAAAACATGATTGGCCCAGGTTTGGGCTGGTTTTGTTAGCAGGCAACCCTGTTTCCGGGTCAGTACATCTACCTTGGGTTGTTTTGCCAAGTGTGCAGTGTAAAAGCAGATATCAGATATGGGTCCTTTTTAAAAGAAGATGTAAGATGGTCTTCACATCAAAAGAAATTGGATGCATTCAACAAATCAGAATTGGGTATCAAGACCGGCAGTGTAAATCAGGTACTATAGCATTAATTTCCATTGATGATACTCAGCTTTATATTTTATCCAGACCTCCACATTTGCCAAGTTAGTCAAGTCAAGTCACCTTTATTTATATAGCGCTTTTAACAATACAGATTGTGTCAAAGCAACTGTACAGCATTAATTAGGAAAATAGTGTCAATAATGCAAAGTGACAATAGTAAACACTCAATTTTCAGTTAAAGGCAGTTCATCATTGAATTCAGTGATGTCATCATCCAGCTCAGTTCAGTTTAAATAGTATCTTTGCAATCATTTGCAATCAAGTCAACGATATCGCTGGAAATGAAGTGTCCCCAACTAAGCAAGCCAGAGGCGACAGCGGCAAGGAACCAAAACTCCATCAGTGACAGAATGGAGAAAAAACCTTGGGAGAAACCAGGCTCAGTCGGGGGGCCAGTTCTCCTCTGGCCAGACAAAACCAGCAGTTCAATTCCAGGCTGCAGCAAAGTCACAAAGCAAAGATAGCTAAGTGTATTAAGCATCTCAAAGACAAAACAAGACAAGTATTTTTTATTGGACCAAAAACCCCTGAACATAAGAATATATAATATTAATATAGTCTTTTGATGCATTATTGTTACACGGTTTTCTACATTTAGGAGTGTTCTTTCTGATTGTAATCTGTGCTGTAGTCATAATTACAGTGTCTGCAGAACAGCCTTTTTCCACCTTAGAAACGCTGCTACCCTAGTGAAAAATAAATATACTACAATGTATTTGAAATACATTTATTTCATGCAAAGTCTACTACAAATACATTTACTGTACATATACTTAAAAAATATCCTGCAATTGTACTTTTGCTATACTAAGCTGGTATACCTAAAGTCTGCTAAATTGGAACTAATTTTGTACTTAATGCACTTTAATTGTGCTGAAGTTCAACTAAAGATATACTAAATTATATTAGATTGTGCTAAAGTGGAACTACTGCAAATATACTTCAGGTACACTTCAAATCTTGCATTTAAAGACTGATATTATTCAATGATCATACAATCCTCATCAATAGTTAGGCTTTTTTAGGCTTAATATTAGGAAAGGTGCATTGTGCACAAGCAGTACCCCAAATAAAGTTTAATTATAATTTTTATCAGTTAGCCTCGAGCGATATATCAGTAAATAAGTTAACATATTTGAACTATACTTAGTGTGAAATAAAATGTATTTTAAATATATTAAATTTTTTACTAGAGTAGACTAGAGTAGACTAGCACTGTGAAAAATAAGGTCAGAATTATGAAAGGAGATGTTGCAAATCCCTTTAAAAAAATAATCTGATGGAAATCAACTATACTTAGTGTGAAATAAAATGTATTTTAAATATATTAAATTTTTTTACTAGAGTAGACTATGCGGTCTGTTCAAAACTGCAGCAGCCCGAGTGATTACTACAACTGAGAAACAAACATATCTTCCCAAATTTTTCATCACTTCATTGGTTGTCAGAGTACATATTGGTTTTAAAATTCTGCTTATTTAACAAATCTTTCAATGGTCTAGCACCATTACTTGTTACATTTTGCGCTACAGTTGTGTAATGCAAACTTAGCACTGTGAAAAATAAGGTCAGAATTATGAAAGGAGATGTTGCAAATCCCTTTAAAAAAATAATCTGATGGAAATAGATTTGATGCATTTTGCAATTTAGGGATGACATGGACAAAAATGGCAGAGAGCAAACTCATACTAAATGCAACAACTTCAGTTGGGACTTTGAAAAGCTTACATTAGGGGATTTTTCTTCAATCAACACACTTAGTTGGTATGGAATACTCAATATTTGAGCCTAAAGTAGCCTGATCCACATAGCATGTAAGGGTGGGAATTAAACAAACAAAAAAGCTAGCATAGACATTCACTGTGCTTTTAATAATAAAGTGAAGAATATAAAAATGACTCCAAAACAAATGTGAAACTTCTCGATTTATTTGAACAAGTGCTTCAGAAAAGACGGGATCACACAAAGATACTCGGGTCCATTACTGATAAGTGGTCTGGGAAGAAAGGCATCGATTCAGTGTTTGGTAGTCTGCAGTTCACTCATAGATCCAGTCTTGTGCACAGCTCTTGTAAGACACCAGCTCCTCAGGCTTGAACCACAAGCTGATCTCTTTATTTGCACTGTCCACAGAGTCACTGCCATGGATGATGTTCCTGAAGAAAAAGAAAAGTCAAGTCAGTCATCTGACATCTTGCCTTCTCTTATCTTCATAGATCATACTGGAGGCCTAATGGTGGTACCACGAGTACATGGACGATCGATTATGAAAGCGATGATTACCCTAAAATATACATTTTTTTCTGATTGGTTGTACCATTTGGGGTGATATCTGAGGTCTGATTTGTTAGCGTTAGTATGTCGTCCAGACCGGAGAAATGAAGTGAAACTGGATTTGAAAGGCCACAGTGCAGATGACTTTGATAATCAAATACAGTTAAGTGCAAGACGTGCAGCGCCAGTCTGCCACACACAGTGTTATAATGAGACCAGGATTGTAACAGAAAGTTGTTCATTCTTTTTGCTTTACTTGTCAATATTTCAGCGTGCTGCTATGGGAAGCGCTCACCCACAGCGGGAGAAACCCTCTCTGGATATATCACGAAACTCAGCTGAAGCTATCTGCATCCTTTTGTGCAGACAGAAGCTGTACTGTTACGTTTATGTAGTATATCCAGGATTAATCTCACAGAAAGGCTTCGGTTTACTGGAGTTCATCTCTTCAGCGTCACCTCAGACAGCTGCTCCTTTTTCAACAACACTGATGCATCAATCCAGAAGTGTTTTTTTCTCCTAGTCATACATTTACATTTTCATTGACATGTTCATGTCATTTTTATGTGTCAAAATTAATTTTGGTAAAACTTAAAATATTTTCATTATCTCCATGACAGACACGTCCCATCCCCGATAACTCATTTTTCTGAGACCTGACAAAGATCGGAAGGAGAAATTGACAAATTCCCAACCCTAGTACCAAATTCAACATCATGGTCACCAAGTGAGAAAAAATCAATCATTTACAAAAACAGCTATTATGGCGATGAGCTTATGGGGACTAAACCCCAGGGTTGGTGCAAACGAAGAGGAAAGCTACCTGGTTAGCTCGCTCAAGCGGAGCAGCAGACTCACCTGCCCACTTCAATGCAGAAGTCGCCCCTGATGGTGCCGGGTTTGGAGTCCGCAGGATTGGTCTCTCCCAGCATCACCCTTCCTGTCTTCACAACATTCAGACCCTCCCACACCTACGAGAGAGAGCACTTGTGTCTGTAACGCTCGACTCGACGCGCAGGCTTCAGCGTTGAGCTCAGTGGAGGAGAGCTCTTACCATCGCAGCGACTGGCCCGGAGCTCATGTACTTCACCAGTCCTGGGTAGAACGGCCGGTCCTTCAGGTCGATGTAATGCTGCTTCAGCAAGTCCTCAGACGCCTGCCATCAAACCACAGCCAAACCATTACACATCTGCACCATTCCAGCAGAATCCACCCCGTAAAAAGCAACAAGTAATGCAATAAAACAGTGGCTGACTGTTCCCTGCCCTCCGTACTCAACTTTCCCTGGTTACACGTGAAACACTGCATCAGACGCTGGAGGTCCTTCTGCTTTAGCAGAGCAGCATGTCAATAAACGAGCATTACAGCAAGATCTACACAGTCCAGTCTGGACCATCTGCTCTACATAACAATGAGGTTTATTAATGCTTCACAAACATACAAACTGAAGTACGGCAGAACAGTCTGAGATTATCTGATAAATATCCAATTCCATGAACTTTGCAAACAGCCATAAAAACCATGTGTTCTTCTCACTGGAGAACAACTTCACATGATTACATTTTTAGGTGTGCTGCTCAAACCAATCTGCACTTTTACTTTTTAAAAGAAAATATAAGTTAGAGTACACTGTGAATTAGTGTTCACAATGTCAAATTTCTTTAATACTATAATAGGTATTTAATAATAACGGCATCTAAAGTTTTTTTAAAAGAGATTTCTAATTCTTTTTATTAAATATTACATAAAATATACATTTAAATGCAGCAATTGTTATGCACGTCATTTACCATCTTTAACTTAACAGTAAATACAGTAGTCAACATTTGAAGTGAATCAAAGTCTTTCATCAAAGTTGTCCTAAATCCTAGAACGCGATCTTGTCTTGGGATAACTTTGATAAACTTTTTTGATCCATTTCAAATGTTGACTACTGTAGTTTAAATGAAATAATAATGTACAAACTGATCTACCACTACAGATTACATAAGGTTCAGCAGGTTTCTGGATAAATGCACTGATCGCAGAACGAGATCAAGCGGAATATGAAACGATTCAGTAATCTTCAAGATCAGAGGTCAAGCCACCTGGAGAAACTTCAAGGCCACCAGTCTGAAGCCCTTCTGTTCGAAGCGCTTGAGGATTTCTCCCATCAGGCCTCTCTGGACGCCGTCCGGTTTGATGGCAATGAAGGTGCGCTCGGTTTTGGCAGCCATAGTTCTGAGACACACAAGAAACACTGCTTTCATGACACTGGTTATACAAATGAGGGTCTGAAGCATCTGAAGGAAGGCCGTCAAACTGACGTCATCAGAGCCAGAACGCCATTTCAGAGCGGAAGCCAATTTTCAGTTTTTGATTAAAGATTACGACGGCAGACGGTTTTTCTTCCCGGTGTATTGACTTGCACGGTTCAATTGTTCACCACAAGACTAGTAATGTGCACTAAAAAGTAAGTAGGGTCATTTTTGATTTCATGACAACTAATCATTTTCAATACCACTGGCAAGACTAACACATACTACTGTATACTGTCATACAGATATTTTAATATTTTAAACATTTTTTGCACATCCATTTTTTCAAGGCAATCATTATTTCAAGCTTATTATTTCAAACTTTGAAATTGGTTTAATCCAAGTCTTCTAAAAAGACACATTCGCTTTATACGATTAACAGATTTTAATATAGGCTTTTATTTACATACATAT